CCCTCTCATGCTCTATCTCATTCTCTCTCTCAAATAAATAAATAAAAATCTTTAAAAAAAAAAAAAAGATTTGGAAAAAGCAGACCAAAGAAAAGAAGGCACAGAGCCATTGTTCAAGGAACACGTTTCCCACTTGTATGGCAATCCTGGGGCATATTATGTTGTAAAACATCTTATTCCCCTTCTAACTTCTTAAATTGCTCCAGATGCTCTTTAACCATAAAGAAATGTAATGATAATTTTTTTTAAAGCTGCATCATCTGTTTCCATATCTGACTTCCCTGAGATGGGCCAGTTAGTTTGTGAAGTTCAAATCAGAAGCAAGTTTATGTATATGGTTCATTTGCACATAAATAGGGATGAAAGACCATTGTGAGCCTTGCAGTGCAGAGAGTTCCTAACCACCTCACTTTAGCAGAGAACTATTTAAATGTTCTGTGACATCACTGCCCCATCCACAAAATGGCAATGATAATAATGCCTACCTGATGGGTTTTCGTAAGGATCAGATTTGTTATACATATAAAATATTTAGAATCCAATTCTGGGCACATAATAAGTGCTTAATGAATGTAAACTACTATTTCCTGAAGTTTGCTAATCATCCCTTTTGTGGACGTAAGATGGTTTGGGGTGATTCATAGAGAAATTCTTATTTTAATATTTAATGTGTATCAATTAGGATGCCCTTGGCTATGAAGAGTAGAGATTATTTTTGAATAATAATTTTCAACCAATAAGATTTTAAAATAAAAATTGTGTTAAAACAAGGGTTGGCCAAACTGTAGCCCACAAGTCAAATATAAATCATTGTTTTTTGCCGTAAGAACGGTTTTTATAGTTGAATATCTGCAAACAATTCAGTGATGGTGAGCACTGAAAAAGAAAAAGGGAAAAAAATCTTTCCTATAAAAAATTATACCTTATTAATTATATTTTGAATTTCATCAATAAATAATTGGTGGAAATTTGTTTTGCCTCTTGTTCTATAAATACCTATATAATAGCCTTGATTTTTTGCCTCTTGGTCCGTAAAGCCTAAAATATTTACTATCTGACCCTTCGCTATTCTCCCATACAGCAAGAGGCCCCAGATGTAGACCGACTCTCAGCTGGTCAAGAGAGCAGTTCTAGATCTCATTAATACCGAGATTCTTTCCACATGTCCACTCTGCCATCCTTATTGTGTGAGCTTTACCTCCAGGCTAGCTTCTTTCATGGTCATGAGTTTCTGTAGCTCCAGAGATGCAGAAATACCCTCCTCTGAATAAGAAAACCTTTCCTTGAGAATAAAAATAAGAAAACCTTCCCCAGAAACACACCAGCAGGCTTTGCTTACCTCTTATTGGTCAGAAATGGGTCATATGACTGCTCCCGAACCAATCACTGGAGAAGGGCATGACTTTGATTACTGGCCTAGACTAGTTAGGTTCTAATTGGAAATGTCAGCTTTCTTTGAAGCACATTATTGCACGGAGAGAGAATACTTGGATAACCCAACACACTAGGGTTCTGCTAAAGAGAGGGAAGAAGGGAAATGGACTTTGGATAGCAATCTATAGCATGTTTCTTTCCTCAAATATGTATTAGGAAAATCCGAAATTAGCACGTTGAACCATGCTTTCATAGCTCTTATTATTCAGGGTAAGACTAAATTTTTTAAGTCTATTTAATTAAAAATATTAACTAAATAAGAGTATGGTAAGAAAAGGCCATGGCAAAAATTAGGAGTCTGGTACGCAAAAGGTTAAATCACAAAATGACAAAGATTTAGGCAATTCTGCATGTTGGCCATTGTTTATGCTATGCTTTGCTCTTTGTTTAGGAACTCCTATTGATTCTTCAAAGCCCAAATCAAATATTAGCTCAAGGAGTCTTCCCTGATCTCCTATTTTTTTTTATTATGCTCCTGTAGGATTAGTTTCTCCCAGAGCATTGTCTCTTTCTTACATCTCTTATAACAAGGACCAGGTTGTGTTATTTATGTTATTTATACACTCCTGATTGGGAATACCTTATTTATTGTTCCACCATTCATCAAACATTTGTTGAGCACCATTTACATGATTCACAGAGAACATTTTTATGTCCATTTCTAGCCCCAGCAACTAAGGCAGGACACATGCGAGCTGCTTATGATATGTTTGTTGTACAAAAGAAGAATTGTTCAAATAATTTCATGAATTAACAATATCGATGCAAGTTTAGCAAAAGGAGAAAACACATTTTGAACACCTTTCACTCCAGCAAATTCTTATTTAATCCAAAATAAAACCACCCAATCTCATTAAATCTCTGAAGTTTGAGTCACTTTTAGAAATAGGCTCAGACTAAAATGTCTCTGGAGTAGGACTGGATTAATGCATGGGTATTTGGAGGTAAGGCCTTTTGCCCAAACCATTAGCTCTTTATTATTTTACTCTACCTAAGAGTGTCTGTTACTTTCTTTCCTATAAAGGAACACCCACCCGCACCCCCCCAAAAAAAAACTAACTAAAAATGGACTCCTCTCACCATTTAAAAATTATTCTATTTCTAATTTCTAATTTACTACCTTACTTGGAACGCTTTGATGACATCTCATTTCTCTTAGAATAAAGGCAGAAGCCTTCAGTATCCTTCACAGACTCCATAACTTCACCCAAAATTTTCTTTTGTTCGAATCTCACACAGCTCACTCTCTTCCTTTCTCTGCCAGAGCCACACTGGTTTGCTTGCTGTTTCAAACATGAAGCTTCTCCTACCTCAGGACCTTTGCTCATGCTTTCCCTATGCTCCAAATGCTCTCCAACTCCTGTTTACCCTGAGGTCTCAGGTTATAGGTTACTTCCCCAGGGAAGCCTTCCTAGTCCCTCCAAACTACACTAGGCTCCCATATCACATGTTCTCATAGTCCTTGTATTTTGTTCTTCAAAATACTTATCTAACTTTTAATTAAATTCATCCCTTGTGTGATTATGTGTTTGATTTCTATTTTCTCCTTGAAAGGGTAAGGTCCATGAGGTTAGGGAACTGTGCATTGTCAACTGCTTTATCTGTAGCCCTTAGAATAGGGTCTGGCACATAGTAGGTCTTCAACAAAGATCGGTTGAATACACATATAAATGAGCCTGTCCACAGAGCAACAAGGTCACTGCCTGAGCCAATTTCTATTGGCCAATCCTCCAGGATCACAGGAATTCCAAACTCATTTTCTCTTGACAACGAATACCCATCTCTGCATTCACCCGACAAACATTTATTGAGTGCCTGCTAAGGGCCAGGATTCTTGTAGTCAGTGAAGATAGAACCATGAACAAAATGACCAAGACCCAGGCCTCACGGAGCTCACGTTCCAGGGGTGAGACCAAAACTAAACAAATAAGCATATAAACGCATAACGAAATGTCAAACAACAACACAAACTATAAAGAAAGCACCAGAACTCTTTGAAAATATGTTTTCGTGGTGGTGGTGGTGTCCTTTTCCAAAAATTGACTTTCTGTGCTCTGAAAAAGAACAGCCACCATCAATTTAGCAAGGATCTGAGCTTAGCTCACTCTTCACACCAGCTAGTAAGGGTCTGTTTACAGGACGATCTCCTTCCTGTGTAGGAAACAGACAACAAATAATATATTTCAGGGTTAATTTAACTTTTCCCAAATTACAAATTCATCTAAAGCGCCATCCACCACCGGGCAATAACTCAGGCGCTGCCAGGTTTTAAGTACTGTAACGGCGGGCTGGTGTTCAACTCCTAGCACACTTCTTAAAAGATGGCCACCCTGGGGTTTCAATCAAGCCTACATAATCATATATTGAAGCTTGGCTTATTTATTTCCATGTTTCTGAAGCACCATTAATCATTTTTCTAAGATGGCTGATGTGTTATATAATTAATAAAACACAGGAGCTTAGGAAGAAAGCTGAGAGAGAGACATCCGGCCACACACACTGAGAAATGGTGTCACTTTTTGGTATCAATGAAAATCTCAATCTTCAGAAGATCAAGTCTTCACTGGAGGAATATGAAACAACCATTTTTCTTTCATTTTCCTTTCCAGCCTTCCCTTCCCTCCCTTTCTGTGTTTACCCAACCTAGACACTGGACGGTGCTACTTTTTTAGGTCCAAAAAAAAAAAAAAAAGTGCATTGTGAGGGAGGGATGAGGGACAGTGAACAAAATCATTAATTCAATTTTGCACCGTTTTGCCTCTGGTGATTGCTGTTCCTGAGGGTAATAGCTTGTCTTTGGTTCTGACCCAATTCTTAAACCCCTCTTATGGTACTCCACCAATGAATCTAATGGTTCATTAATTGCAAACATCTGAAATCATTAGAACCTGATTGAGCACAGAAGCATCAAACCTTCCAAAGCTGTAACTGCTTAACCAGCAAATGGGCTCATTGCAAAGGAATGTCGATGTTTATAGTAGATGTAACCCAAACTCGGGTGTTCATTGACACTTTGTTTCATTTGTATACCACCACCCTGGCATCTATCTGTTCCTGAGAACATGATTTATCCAGTGCTATATCCCGGAACTGACAGGCCAAAGATGAGAGCCTAACCCAGATGAAAGCCGGGGCTGTGTGTATTCCTAAAACAAATATTTAGTATCTGACAAGCTCTGGTTAATATTAATTCATGATAGAAAGCAGTCAGTTTAAGCTTCGTTCATGCCAAAATCTATTTGGGTTTTGTAAATCATTTTTCAGGATTATAGAGTAGAATATCAGACCCCCTTCCCTAAAATTAGAAATGTTTCAGAAAACATCCAGCCCAGAGTTCCAAATGGGCTGCCCACAAGCATAAAATCTTCCTGTAGATGTTTTTCTTTGACTAGCAGAGTGCTTTAAAAGAATAGTTTTTAATTATTTGCCAAGTCTGAGTTTCTGACTTTTCTTGCAGGTCTAGCAATACTTGGTCCAGATTCCTACAAGGCAACAGTCAGCTGGAGCTGAACGGAGGCTAACCCCGTGGAAGACACACATGCTTGCCATTTGGGCAGAGCCCCACCTCTCCCTCCTATTTATACTATCCCACTTACACCTGCCTACTGTTCATCTGACAGGTGAGGACACTGATGTCTAGAAAGGGAGAAGGATTGTCCAAGGACATGCATTTGGTTAGTGTCAGAGCTGGGACGAGAACCCAAAACTCCCCATTCTACATTATTGCTTATTTAGTTAGAATCACTCAGTGCCATTCCACACTGATATGCACATGGTTTTTGGAAGAAAAACTTAAACCTGGTGTCTAGGGACTTTTCAAAGGCCATGGAGTATGCCTGGGTCACGAGCATTATCATTAACCAGTCTTCATTATGGCACATGCATGTCGTTACTTCTAGGAGATCTGAATAAGTGTCATTTTGCAAAACTGCAAACATCCATTAAGATGTTCCCATCTTTATGCATATCTAATTTGGGTGGGCTGTGACTTTTCTGCACTAGGATACTGACATCCTTACCGAACCTCACGCCAATTCCATAATAGTAAGTACTGCTACCATTTATTAGATATGTCCTGTGTTGCAAACTGTGTCTATACCCTTTCCTCCTTAGTATTCAGAGCAATCCTCAAAGATCAGTTTATTGTTCTCATTTTACAGATGCAAAACTGGGGGCTCAGCTAGCCTAATCAGCTCTATCAGGATGACGCAGCTCAATGAATGACAGAGCTGGGCTTTGAACCCAGATACGTTGGGTTCAAGTCCCTTGCCTTGCAGCTATATCCTACACGGGCTGACTGCTGTTAGGTTAAGTTTTTGCCCTCTTGGCATACGCAAGAATGACGCTCATATGTTCAATGTAGCTCAAAGTAAGGAGGCAAACAAATACAGGAGAGACATACAGTCAAGAATGGGTTAAACTTCCTGATAGCACCAGTTTAAAAAATGAATTCTTCGCATTTTTAAAATGTGTATTGGAAGCATATTTCTCTATGTGCAACAAAAACATTTAGGCTCCCCTGTCACTTAGGTGAATTTTGTTTGCATGGTCTCTTCATGGAATACTGATGTTAATTTTTGGTTAAGTTTAATCTTACCAAGTATAAAGCAATTTGATAGAATAAGTAACCTTTCATTAAAGTTCAATACCGTACTTAAGGAAAATGGGACTGTGTGCATTAATTGATAGTTGACAGCTATTATTTCCAAGAAAACCTTTTATAGTAAAATTTCTATTTGATGGATTGGAATTTATAAAATTTGCATTTAACTGAGCTGGATTCAACTGGAAGTACTGGGGACAGATTTCTTCTTCAAACAATATCCTATCTTTACATTTTTATTAAATATTTATTAATGGATGGAATCTTAATTTAAAGAGTAGAGCACAGATTTTATTTAATAACTCAGGTTTATTAGTGCATGAACACAAGTATTTGCACCATATTTGACTTTGATAAAACATGACTATTTATGAGTATATTTATCCATGGAGACTTAATTAGCACTGTCGAGTTTGGGACAAATTGCTTAATAAAGAATTTTATTTTATTTTACTTTATTTTTATTTTTTTAACTCACAATAAATTACATGCATATCATTGGGAATTTTTCTTCCAGTCAGCAGCTTAGAAGGAAGCAATATTATCTTGGATTTGGCATATTTGACTGGAATTACAAAAATGTGGAATGGAACTCTGATTCTATTCAGTTTCTGCCCCACCCTACCTCTTCACAAATCCAAGGACGCTTGAGTGAACATTAAGATTCTTTTGGCATCATTATGCAAGATTTTCATAAATGAGATGATAGTAACATGAAAGCTATTTTTCTCCCATTAATTCCAATCGAAAATATGTAAAGGATTTCCCATATATTTCTATAAAGTATTCACCGTCAAAATTGCTCTTGCCACTTAAGAGATGGAAAGGTTGAGTCTAAGAACAGTGAAATCACTTGAAATTCAACTCACTCAGGAATACATCAAGATCAGAATCCAGGGTTTGCAATCTGTTTCCAAAACGGAGCAACCAGATTAAAAGCCTCCACCTCATGCTGCCAGTGTCCTCCTCTTCTCCCAGGTAGACCCGGTTCCCTGGCGTCCTTCAGGGTTTAGGTGAAGTTCTCAGCTACAGCATCGGGACCACCCTGAGGACGCCCTATCCCTCCTGTTACCTACCACTGCAGAGCATATATCAAAGGTGGCAGTCATATAGTTACCTGACTACTTTTTTTGTAGCATACCTCCCCCGTTAGACTTTGCATCTCCATGAGGGCAGGAATGTTGTCGAATTTGCCCACCTTTCTACATGCTCTGTGTGTGGTACGGAGAAGGTTCTCAGTGAATTGTTGAGTGAAGGGATGGACAGAGACTCTTAAAACTCAGAGCTCAAAATTCATTTCTGCAACCACAATATAAATCTTCTGTGAGACCAAGGGTTCCTAGTTTGTATGATAAGGCACAGTTTCTTCCTGTCTTCCAAAAACTGGAAAAGAGAAATTGTAGCCAAATATTTCTATGAGCTACTTAAAAATCCTTATGATATGATACAAATCAGGAACTTGGGTGGCTCTGCTCAGAAGACTCATTCATTTCCCTGACAGCTCCCGATGGGGTACTGACCATGAATCCAAACCTACGGGGCCAAAAGCAGTCTGCTTTTTATCACTTCAGTAAAGAAACCCTGTTTATTTCCCCTCTCAGTGGTCCTGCTACCCCCAGATGAATTCAACAGTGCAATTTACTAGACATGACAAAAGGTACGGTAATATCCCACAACGTGGCATTTATTCCCAGGACAACTTGGTACTACATGAAGAGAACATGAGAAAATTTTCACAAGAAAATGGGGCAGTTATATAATTCCTACGAGAACCTGTCTGTGTTCGGATTTAAGGACCCAGAAGGCTGAGAGGCAATTCAATTTCTGTGCGCGGCAAACTCCTCTACTTTCCGGAAGTTTCCTTCTTCTGCAGCTCCTTTGAGTAAAAGAGTTGTTGAGTTCTTTTAGCATCTTTTCTGAAGTTAGGATTATTAATATAAAGATACAGCATGTCACCTTATGAATTGGGAAAAACAAGAACTTACTAGGATGGACTAAAAAAAAAAATCTACTCTGAGTTCATTTAGTTCTTACAGATGTAATCTTGTCCTCAGCCCAGGGGTCAACACATTTTTTTTTTTTTAAAGAGCCAGAGAGTAAATATTTCTGGCTTTGCAGGCCGTTCAGTCTCTGTCACAACCACTCAGTTCTGCCCTTGTAACATTGAAGCAACTACAGACAATGCATACACAGCTACAACTATGTGCTAATAAAGCTTTATTTCTAAAAACTTGTGCTAGCCCAGGGGCCCTAGTTTGCTGACTTGTGATGTAGCCTAAATTTTTGGATAAAGCCATATTCTCTGGTAAGAAATAAGAACTCACATCTAAAAATATTGAAAATAGAAATATACCATACGATCCAGTGATTCCTACCAGGTATTTACCCAAAGAAAATGAAAACACTAATTCGAAAAGATATATGCACCCCTATGTTTATTGCAGCATTATTTACAACAGTCAAGGGACAGAAGCAACCCAAGTGTCCATCCACAGATGAAGGAATAAAGAAGATGTGGTCTATATACACAATAGAATATTATTCAGCCATTAAAAAAAAAGAAATCTTGCTATTTACAACAATATGGATGGACCTAGAGGATATTATGCTAAGTAAGATAAGTCAGACAAAGAAAGACAAATACTACATGATTTCACCTATATGTAGATTCTAAAAGAACAAAACAGATGAACAAACAAAAAAGCAGAATCTTTTTTTTTTTTTTAAAGATTTTATTTATTCATTTGAGAGAGAGAGAATGAGAGACAGAGAGCACGAGAGGGAAGAGGGAGAAGCAGACCCCCCGCCGAGCAGGGAGCCCGATGCGGGACTCGATCCCGGGACTCCAGGATCATGACCTGAGCTGAAGGCAGTTGCCTAACCAACTGAGCCACCCAGGCGCCCCAAAAGCAGAATCTTAAATACAGAGAACTTCTAGTTGCCAGAAACAAGGCTGAGGGAGAGGGATGGGTGAAACAGGTGAAGGGGATTAAGAGATACAAACTTCAGGTATAAAGGAAGTCACAGAGGGGCACCTGGGTGGCTCAGTTGGTTAAGCAACTGCCTTGGGCTCGGGTCATGATCCCAGAGTCCCAGGATCGAGTCCCGCATCAGGCTCCCTGCTCAGCAGGAAGTCTGCTTCTCCCTCTGACTCTCCCCGCTCTCATGTGCTCTCTCTCTCTCTCATTCTCGCTCTCTCAAATAAATAAATAAATAAAATCTTTAAAAAAAATAAAATAAAGTAACTAAGTCACAGAGATGAAAAGGACAGCATAAGGAATATAGTCAACAATACTGTAACAGCGTTGTATGGTGACAGATGGTGACCACCTTTAGCATGGTGAGCACTGAGTCATGTACAGAATTATGAAATCACTATGTTGTACACCTGAAACTAATATAAGATTGTATGTCAACTACACTTCAATAATCAATTTAAAAAGAACACACACCTGGGAAGGCCTAGAATCCCCAAAAATCCTCCTTTCCACTGCTCCCACCCATTGATGGATACCTGAAATCACACCTTAAAGGTTTCAACTCTTTTCTTTTAATATATGTTAATAGGTACGCACCTGTGAAGGGAAAAAGTGTTGTGTAGTCAAATATGTTCGAGATGCTGGATCAACAAATTTAAGCAGATTTATTTATTGAAGAACTTTTTAGAGCTTTTAATATGCTAATGTGCCTTGAAAACAGGGGAAAGCAGAGCATAAGCGTTTCCTAAATGTATTTGATGACAAAATCTTTCTGTGAGGGCATTTTCAGGACTGTTTTCCACCAAACACATCTTGGGAAATTCTTTTTTAAGATAAGGATGTCGTTGAGGAGGAGTAATAAATAATGATAGTTATCATTTATTGAGTCCTTACCATACTGGTTACACACACATCTTTTAATTTAATCCTTGCAACCGCCTTATGAATTACATCCCCCTTTATAATTAGGAATATTGAAATATAAACAGGTTAAGAAGTCTGCTTTTGGTTATATAACTAGTAAGTGGCGGAGCCAGGTTTCAAATGTGTGTGTGTGTCTGACTTTAAAATTCAGTCTCTTAACCTCCATTAAATCTTAAAGTCAGTAAAACTTTAGTTTGAAATAGGACTTCCCAGAATCAGAGAATTTTAGACCAACAGGGGCCATTGGAGATACAGTTTAATCCACCTACAGAGAAATGAATTTATTCCTTAAAAGAGAAAATTCAAGCCCAATAAAAGGACAGGACTGGTCCAGGGACACTTAGCCCTCAAACTGGGAGATCAAAAAATTTAAAGAATATTGCACTACATCAAAAACTAATGATGTACTATATGTTGGCTAATTGAACATAATTAAAAAAAAGAATATTGTTTTTATTCCAGTCTAATTTCTTTCCAAAGAAGACTTTGCTGAGGTTTGCTCAGTGGAGGAAAGAGAAACAGGCTATATCTGTCAGGGCTATTTTATTTGCAACTGTCAGAAAACCTCTACTCATACTGATTTAAGCAAAATGAGAATTTGTTGGCTCATGTAACTAAAAGGCAGATACTGTACTTGGCCTCAGGTATGGGTTAACCTAGGAGTTAAACAATCTCACCCAGACCTGATTCTTTCCATTTGCCTGTGCTCTCAGCCAGCCAGATTTTCTTCCTCTGGCTTTGTGTGGCAGCCATATGGCTAAATTCTCCCATGTTCAAATCCAGCAGGAAAATAAATTTTCTCTTCCTCCAACAGTTGAGACAAAAGTTCTGCCTCTGACTCTCATGTAACCAAACTAAGGTTCAAACATAAGAAAACCTTCTGCATTGCCAAATATACCCTTAGCTAGGAAGCTACCATCAGTTGCATAGAAAAAAAAAAAGAAGAAAAATTAACTTCTTTGAGAATAATTAATGCTGGGCATATTAATACTTACATTGAAGGATTGTTATAAGGATTAAAAAAGAAACAAAATATGTAAAGTGTCTACTATGCCATCTGACAGATGGTAGGTGGTCAATCAATATCAATTATCTTTCTTTGTATCTTCTACCATCAGCGATTAATACTAATAGAATTCTCATGCTATCCAATTCTGTT